TGGAAATTATATCCGTAGTGGAGAGAATGTGATGCCGGATGTTGTCAATCTTAGAACTAAAGAAATCTAAGAATGTTAGAATAATTATTAGGAGATTGAAAGTAATACTACAATGGAGGTTAGAATACATAAAAGTTATTTCAGTATTCAGTACTACACCAAAAAAAAATGAATGGTAAATGGTAAAAAAACATACACAATGAGATATGGTGTATTTAGATTTCCAGAAGGCTTCTGACAGAATTCCCCACATACGAACAATTTTCAAATTCCAGTCCATTGAAATGAGAAACACTGCTTGAATCTGTTACTTATAAAAAGGAGTTTTTACTGGCATATCACTTAATTCTTATAAAGTGGAGGGCGAATAAAAAGCAACCAAAATGTTAGGAGCACAGGATTTCTGTTACAACCTTTGTGATACAGTAATGCCATAAATCCTTTGATAAAGCCAACATCACATTTTGCATGATCTGTGAAAGGGCCTCTTATCTGAACATTAAATTTACTCATGGAAACAGACATATATACACACAATTATATGCCAGGTGGCACGTAATTATTGCAGATAAGAAAATAACCTTAGAAACAAGAACAATTTTGGTATCACAGATGGATGGGATTTTTTGTAAACTAAAAAATATATATATTTCTTACTGCTTCTGTGAAAGCTTCACTGTTCTGCTCTTCGTGTGCTTCAAGAAGTTTCTGTTGGGAAGAAAGCTCAGGTAAATTTTCAGGCAGAAAAGAGCAGTCTTCCTAATACCTTTATAGAGAAAAGCAATGTAAGATTAAAGTGGGAACATCGCTTATTATTCTGCTATTGCTGTTGTATAGGGCACGGTTATTTATTTTTCATCTTCAGTCATTCATTTTCAACAGAATTATAAATTCCAAATACAATGCATTCGGTACATAGCAAGAGAATATACAGTAACCACTGTATAAATCAGCTGAGCCAGATGATTAGTAACAGAGATCTGTAATAATTCCCCTTGAGACAAAAAAAATGTAAGGTTTCCAAAACGAACACAGTACAAAACACCTTTACAGTCAGGTCGTATCCTGAAACATGAATAGTTATTTATAAATTACACACAAGGGATTTAAATATCAAAGAATAACCACAGTATGACTCACAACAGTCTTTTAAAAAAATGTGAATCAAATTATTTTATATTAATCTGATTAGGAATAACCCATCACTTATGGCTCAATAAAACACTTTACTGTTTGAGGAAAAAAAAGTCCCATGCAGACACAATTTTCTAACATACCCCTTGTTTTAGAAAATGACAAGGTGTCTTACAGGATTTGCAGGCAGGTTCTAGGCGTTGCTATTGCACTGAAAGCTGAGTGAGCCTTTGTCAATTAAAAATGTGGTGACCAGGGTAAAACTCTCAGTCTACTGTGCACCGTCGCAAGGTCAAATCAAGGTAAAATTCAGAAAATAACATTACTCAATATTAATAATCAATCCAACAACACCTGGCTCCCAGAGCTCAGCCTTTGTTCCGAGTAATAGCCTCTACTGTCGGATCGAAATGAATTTCTGCGCTAATTTAAAATAGAAACCTTTACTCTGTATTCACTGACTTTTCTTTATGAAAGCCCCACATTTTCTGCCCCATGCCATATTTACAGAACCAAATTCTGTAAACTGCAATTACAGTTCTTTGGAGAAAACTAAGATTTTAGGCCTGCTTCAGAACACAAGGTTAAACTACAACATACAGAACCCAGCGAGATAACAGAGATATCCTGGACAGAGGAAAATGCTATAGACAGAATAGCACTGAACTGTCAGGACCAGAAAACATTATCTTCAGAATTACCTCATAATCTATATCAACATTAAAGGAATTAATGCTGAGAAAAAAATGGAGTCAAGTTGATAACTTACATACCTTCAACAGCTTACATTCTCTTGAATCGGAAAATGCTGGAAACATTTCCTCATATTTCTCAACTGCAAGCTAGATTAAAAAAAAATACAACAGAAAAGCAAAAACATCAGTGCCATAATGTCAAAGCTATTGTACCTGTACATTTGTTGTTCTAAACTTCAAAGAGAATAACTGCAAGATAAGCCTTTAAATTATTTTATGTTAACAAACATTAATTTATGTTTATGATTTGCAAGCATAGCTTTTCTTAATTATAAAACTGCATCTGATGGTTCTATTACTTGATCAGGTGTACTCAATTCCATTCTTCATTCAGATACTTGGCAAATATATAGCATATATATATATAATATATATTTTTAGTTTGTAATTAAAATTAAAGCTGGGGTCTATATTTTAAAGAAATATCATACAATGTTTGAATTAAAGCTGATTCATTGATCTGTCCCAAAATGCACTGATAGCAGTTACATTTATACAAACCTTTGCATTTAATTCATCGACAATAAAATGACACAATGCAGCCTTAAAGAAGTATTCTTTTGCACTGTATTTCAGTAAAGGGTTGTCCATGGTATTAGTGCCAACCTATGGGGAAAAAAAGGTGAATTAAACTCATTGTGGATTTGTTTTTACTTTGCATTTGGAAAATATTAATTATAAGCTTTGCAAAGCATACAAACCTGTTCATAGATTTCAACTGCCTTCTGATACTGCTCGAGTTGTGCACTGTATGAAGCCACCTTAAGCAGACACTTATTAGCAGAACTAAAACAAAATAAAAAAAAAACATTTTAGTCTGTTTCAGAATTTTCAGAACAGGATACTTTTATTAAGTAAAACCAGGTTATTGTATCATGTTTCCAAACTGATAGTTTAAGAACTGCTCTGTGAACATCAAGCAAACTAGTTCCTCCGGATAATCTCAACAGGAGTGAGGGTTTGTCCCTCAGTTTAAAGTCCATTTTTTGGTAAAATGTGCCAAAATAAGATCTGTATAAGTTCTTATATTCACTGGAACTTGTTTTCACCCATAAATATCATCCTGTTGTATGTATCACAAAATGAAAACTATTTTTCCTTATTATTCATCCATTATAGAAGCACAGTTTCCTCAACTGGAAGTATGTATGATTACTGCTTTGCGAACAAAGCTTTATGTCAGCTGCTCATAAAGCAAAAAAAAAACAAGGAAGTTTACTTGGCCTTACCTATTAGACTCTTCTCCTTTGTAATAATCTGCTGCCTGTTCATAGTGTGCAATCGCCTACATGAAAATTAAAGAATGAGACAGAAATTAATACCTGTACTTTAATTTTGTAGTGATTTTGACTTCTTAACGATTGCGACTGCACGCAGCAGACATGTCGCAGCATTGTAAGTCCAAAACCTATACATACCTTTTCAATATCCACCAGCTCAGACTCATAGACCTCAGCAATCGTGATATGATGTTTAGCTGCAATAGTGAATCTTCCCTATGAATGTGAAAGAAATTTTTCAATGAGAAGACTTGGAATCTACTAATCAGGCACCACAGCACAACAAATCCAATAATCCAGCAACTGTTGTTTCTCTTCATTGAGTAGGAGATTCTTACCATATCTGTGTATATATCGATGGCTGCATTTAGGCAGCTGATAGCCTCTTTTGGGTGCATTTGGAAAAAGGAAGGAAAAGGTAAATACAAAGGTAAACATATGAGTTTGGAAAACCCTCAAGATAAACCACAGTTCTCCTGGTAATATTGAGCTACACAGCTGAAAAACTGTAGACTCTATCCAACCTTGCATTACCATCATAGATATTGCTGCTAGCAAACATAACTTCAAAATTCTACATTTAAACTTGCAATGAACACATTTTAATAGGATTCCTCACAGTATTAAGTGATAAGTCATAGTTTAAAGCATTTAAAATGTTTAAACACTGAAATCTCTTCAGCTTCCCTAGATAAACAACCACCATTACAATAAATAAATTCCCCAATTTAGTTTAATTTCTCACATGTTACAAACATTGTAACATGTTTTACATAATGTTCGGGTCAAGTTTAAATGTGAAATAATTTGTCATAGAATTAAGATAAACAGATAAAGATAAATAAGAAATTATGGTTCAGAACTCAAAAGTGAAAATATAAAGCACAGAAAACAGAAACAAAAAGCCTAATGATAAAATGGAAACATTTTTAAAAATAAGAATTAGTTCTAGAATTAGTGATATGTAGTTTTATTTAAACCTGTTGTATTTCTACATATTAAAGGTGACAATTTGCAAAGTTCTGATACAGAAAATACAGAAATAAAAAAATACAGAAAACTCAAACTCAAGAGACAATCATGGAAACATCAGAACAAAGGGACTAATTTGTTCTAAACGTCTTTTAAGACATCAGTTTTTCTACTATAGACAAGATTTGAGTTTTTTTATAAATTATTTTGTTATTACAATGAACCACACAAATTATATATTATATAAGCTAAATATTCCCCATTATCTTAGGATAACTCAGAATATCATATATAACTTATACTTTTAAGTCCAATATTGATTATGACATAAAACAAATATTTTATTTCTTAAATTGCTCAAATAATACATAATATATTTTGTAAAGGATTTAAAATTGCTACATATAGTACATCCTAAAAGGTAAATGAAAAAGGATTTATCACTTCAAATACATTTTAGAGAGAAAACTCATAGCTTTTTGAAATTGTAGCTGTTTTCTTTTAAGCTAATAATAAGTAGCCTTTTAGCTTCACAGATGGGCAGAGGGAGAATTTTAATGAGAAATACCTAAAAATTTGTCAATTAGACTTGACTGGCAAACATAATGGATTAGGTAAACACTTTTTACTATACCATGTATGTCTTACATTGTTACAAACCGCAATGTAGCTTGCAATTGCAATTACAATATGAATTAATAATTTTTTGGGTTGTCTTCTTACAACTCAAAAGTTGTATTAATAAAAATAAAAGCTTTTAGAATAATAGAAAGCTCTAGTGGAGGTGTGAACTGTTGATGCCGTCATATGCTATAACACCTGATTATGTAAGTATTTTGTAAGTATACAAGTATTCTGCACTATTAAATACAAAAAACTATTATAAATAAAGAGTATAAAGATGTTGATTAACTCAGTTAATATAACCATCTGTGGTTGTGTGCTATTTCAGGCTACTACTTCACTGCCTACTAAAGCTGTACTTATTACAGAATTGTATTAGTTCTGTTAGATGTTGTTTAACATGACTTTTTAACACTAATGTATTTGGCTGACACTTTTATCCAAAGTGACTTAAATTAGTACCTATTTATACAGCTGGGTATTCTACTGGAGCAACAGAAGATTTTGAGCAAGGGTACAAACTCCAGTGTCCCACCCAGAGATAAACCCAGAACCTGCTCCACACTGCTCAGTACACGCTTAAACTACATAGCATGAATGTAAAAGAGGCCCGTAGAAACATTTTGGAAACAATTTTTGCAATTTTAATATCTCTTTACCAAGTTAATATAGTTAAATTATTAAAAATAATATACTTATTGTCCATTTGTCAGCTGAGGGCTAATCATAACACTTTAACAGTACATATAGAATGACAGCCTTCGGTCCATCTGATTCATTAAAGATAATGTTTGGTTAAAGCCTGGAAAGATCTACACTGTTGGTGGTTGTTTGGCAGTTGATGCTTAAATAAGTAAACACATGAATATTTTACCATTTTTACCACTGACTGTATTGGATTTGCCTTCAGAATGATAAACATTTGTTTTCATTATGTGACTGCAGTGCCCCCGTTTGATCTTTAGACTCATCTAGTTTGACACGGACATATCTTCTCAAAAAACAGTGGAGAATATAATGATATGGTGAGATCTGTAAACAACACATAACTGTTTCCAAACAAAAGAATATTCTGCATTTTCTTTTCATGCAATGCACCTTTAATCTTGTCTTTTGTTGATTCAGTTTTTTAGTTAAAAAGACAAAACTTTTTAATTTCTGAATTAAACTGCAAACTGCTTTATACGTTTCTCAGAGAAGTGATGCCGATCACTAATTACAGATCCCGTTTAATCAGCATTTCAGCCCTGCGGCATACCAACTAGCATACGTTTACAGTGGCACATTTATTTTCACCAGTTGCTGAACAAATTGTTTTGACAATATTCTTTTCAACAGTATAGAGATCTGCAGAATCTGTTCCTAGTTTGTGCTGGATTTCTGCTCTGCCACCTCTCATTAGAAGACCCAGTCTTTTGGCAAAGCACAGTTTGCCACTGTCTGTGGAGTGGCGTTGTGTGGCTCTGAGCCTCTGAGCGACTGTAATCACATCCTGGAGAGGGCACAGCAAAGCTTGTGATATGCGGTATGCTTGACACCCCCAAGGTAACTAGTGATTTTAAGAATTATCAGTTTACATATAATCATCTTTTTTTCAGGTATATACACATGAAAGAATTCTTAGCCAGTCTACAAAAACAATAGTTTGCCTCTGTTCATCTGTTTTTCTTCATTCAGTCACCACCTTAATTTAATTGCATGTCACCATTTTGGCTTCCACACACCATAGTCTAAAGGAGGTTAGTGAAAATTTTACAACCTTCAACAATTGAGACTTGTAATTTATTATAAATATGCTGTGTTTTATCAGTGATTTTAAACTACCACCTCAGAGAAAACCTGTCTGAAACTGGTTTAAGGTAAAACAAAAACCCACATACACCATAACAGACGTAGGCCCTCATAATCTAGCCAATGCTCCAAACATTGTTTAGAATCTTTTTGTAATTCAGTGATAACCAATTTATTGAGCTCTCAGCATCTGCTTCTGCTACTAATAAACAATAATCAAAATAATTGTTTGCATTAAACATAAAGAGGAAATAATACAATTTCCTACCTTGAGGATCAGCCTTCTTGTAAGCATTGCCAGCATCTACAAAGCTGGTGGCAGCGTCATGTTTGCTCTGGAGCTGCATATGCAGCTTGGCAGCCTGACAGAAGGCATTTCCTGCACCTTTGGATAAAGGTGAAATACTCCATTAAGACAGATTCATAATGACTAATACAAAGTGAATAGAGAAGTAAAATAGAGAAGGTCTTTGTGGGTTTTTAACTCCAACATCGTAAAAATATATAGAATTATATAGAATATAGAGTTTCCATATTTTAATCTTCAACTCTTCTAAAGGTTAATTTAAGAGTATAAATGACCTGTTGAATTCTAGTAGACAAACATCGTGCTTTTAAAACTATGCACTGCAAATGTATTAAATGATAAAATGATCCTTAACAAAATACTTTCTCCAGGCTTTGTGGTCTGGATCACAAAATTGTCCAGGTCTTCAATACAATCATTTTTTTTTACCATATGTTCTATTGTCTCCTATGTATCTCTACTTCAGGCACGTGCACTCAGGTCATAAATTGAAACTTACTCTAGATGTCACTAATTGCAACCTGGAATAAGCCATTACTCAATACACAGAGGCCGAGAGAATATACAACTTCTGCTGTTAATTCGAATGGAAGTATCTCTTGACAGCTCTCAGAAAAGCACATAAGAACTAAAACAAAAGAAATGAAACAAAACTGTAAACAAAAATGAAAGACTTTCAGATAACTTACCATTCCAGTTCTTAGCCATCTTGAACATGTTAGCTGCTCTGGCATACATATCACAAGCTTCTTCAATTTTAGAGTTTCCTCTGAAATTAAGAATATAAAATGCATGTAACATTAATCTCAGATGAAAAGTATTAATAAATTAATAAGCAATACTAATACACATGATAACAAGGACCCTTAATTAAACCCTTAAGAAGTTAACCTATTTTAAATAGTATTTAACAACAAATTCTCATTGACCGTGCTGACCATAATGCTATCAGTGTAATCAATGAAAGGCTTATACTACTGCTGCACAGGAAACAAAGCAGTTAAAGAAAACAATGATCAACAAAATGTAAATAACAAATGGACATAATAGGATGTGGCGGTATTAACAAATACAAATATTATGCAGAAAAGATGTTACAAAACTGAAACCACCCTCAGTGGATAGTTTCATCTTATCCTGCAGATTATTCCAGATAATTAGATGACTATGTATTAAGAAATTGAGACCTTCTTGGTCTTAAAGCATACATGCTGGGAAATTACCAAGAGACCAAGGATGACTTTGTGCAATTCCCTTGCTAACTGGAAGGCTGTAAAACAAATGTCAGTACATATTTATTGTTCTGTAAATAGTTCTGAAACCATGTGATGGGAATTCATATCTACTACACAGCAACTTGAGTAGAATTGAGTGATCTGCACACTCAAAAGCTTTGATTTTTTTTTACTTTTCATCCCACACAGCTATACAAATATGATTTATACATTTTTTACAAGAGTCATCATGATACCACCAGCACAAATGCTGCACAAAAAAATAGACCGAAAGTCTATTTGTGGTGTTTGTTACATGCTGAGTTTGCACACTTCAAAAAATAAAAATGCTTTGTATCTCAGAAATAAAAGCAGTACAAATGCTACATTTTATGGCACAAACAGTGCAGTCCCCTCCAAAAAGGAATCCCTAATATCTCACAAGAGAACTAGCACACACACCTCTTCCAGCAGCACAGACAAATGCACTGGGAGTCATTGTTTATGCTGTTTGTAGAGGGACCAACTTCACAAAGCTCTAAAAATAACAATTGCTTATTACATTTATTTTTCATTATTTCAAAACTGTAAAACAACAAGGCATGGCAAAACAGATATATGGCTATAGCACTTTTGAAAAGGGGCAGAACAAGGGTGGACTTCCAGTCAGCTGGGATTTCAGCAATTTTAAAAGAAAGTTTGAATAAGTTTTCGAAAACAGCACTACTAGCAACTGCACAGATGACAGCTGAGAAATCCATTTTAAAATTTCAAAACTTGATGAGGAAAAAAAAGAAGTGGTTTCTATAAAATATTAATCTTGATACCTGGTTTTAAAATTTGAAAGAAACTGAGACATTAAGAAGGATCTCAAAAATACTAAGTTGGTTAATTTTACAATAATATACTTGTGATATTAAAGCCAGTAGAAACTGCTGCATAAACAAACCAATACCTTCCTTTTCTAAACATGGAGCAAAACTTCATTTTCCATTAAGAGGTTTTCACTTTAATGGAGTCTTAAAACCAGAGATTTACTAGCACTAATTTAACATTAGGACATTTTGGTCACATGATGTAAATATAGAAAAGTAATACACTACTGTTCTGGGATAAGTGACTTAAAATTATTTTGGGGTGATTGCCACATTTTGCTAATGACTCATAAATATATCATGACTGAATATATCTGATCCTGGGACTATCGGATTCTACAGAATTATTGTCTTGTACAGCTCTATAGGAGCAAGGTCAAAGCACCAAACTATTAATTATGCAAGCCATGTGATGGACATGATCATCAATATAGTCTTTAATGTTGCCCTATGTACCATTACAATTCATAAGCATGTTTTTTTTAACTACTTTAGGAACTGAAATGTAATATAAGTGTTCCTAGCTATGACTTCTGTGAAGACTTAAATCAAATTCAATTTACAATAAAACAACAGACTTTGCACCACATTGTTACTACTGAGACACGATCCTCATCATGTCAACAGGACACAACAGAAACTGAAAGACTAGAGATTCAAAGATGCCACCAACATGCAGACAAGCCCTTTCTTGAGTATTTCTGGATCTGAACAGAGAACAGCGAAAGCTGGTAATTTCCACAGACAGGTGTAGAAAGGTGAAGTGCGCCAGGGGCAATCGAACATGGTTTATTTTGCTACTCTCTGATGTGAATACATGGAACACCAACTCCGTTCAGACAATGACCAATAGAAGCTGCTGTTTAGCAATATATACATTCAATATATTGGGGTGGTGTGGTGGCTCTGTAGCTAAGGATCTGCGCCTGTAGCTGGAAAGCTGCCGTTCGTATCCCGCAGCCGGCAGAGGAATATTTCTCCGTTAGCCCTTAACCCCACCTGCTCCAGGGGTGCCGTATAAATGGCTGTCCCTGCACTCTGACCCCAAGCTTCTCTCCCTGTCTGTGTGTCTCATGGAGAGCAAGTTGGGGTATGCGAAAAAAGACAAATTCCTAATACAAGAAATTGCATATGGCCAATAAAGTGACCTTATCTTAATATGAAAACAGATCGGCGGCACAGTGGTTAATGGGCATTACAGTGCTGGGGCCCTGGGTTTAATTTCAGACCTGGGGTACTACCCATGTGGGGTCTGTACGTTGTCTCCAATCTTGGGTGGGATTCAGCTGGGTGTTGCGGTTTCTTTGCATTTTACAAAAGCATACTGGTAGGTTAATTGGTTTCTGGGAAAAGTGGCCCTAGTGGGAGTGTCTGTGTGTCTGCCCCGTGGATGACTGGCCTCCCATCAAGGGTTCACCCTGCCTTGCATCTGTTGCTTGTTGAGAGACTCCAGCCCCATGAACTGCAAATAAGTGTTGAATATTTCTGTCTGCCACAGCGAGCAACTTCCTGTTGTCTTTCACAATCTGTGTGAGTCAGGGTTTTTACTTGCCTATTTGAAAATAAAGAAGAAGAAATAAGCTACAAATAACATTAAATGCTGCTCTCCATGTCCACCTTTCTCAAATCCCATGCCAGCGTAATCAGATTATTTCCCAGAAGAAAGCCCAAGTATCTCTCCGCAGATAAGCAGTAGATATGTTTTTGTGAAATTATTACTGCAGCTACAAATTATTTTCAATTAAAAATACCCTCTGTAGCCACAGCTTTTTTCTTCTCATGTTTTTGCTATTCACCTTTTCTGCCCTGAACACTGTGTTCACTATGTGGGCCTTCAGATGAAAAAGGTTGAGAAGCTCTGACCTAGGCATCACTAGTACTTTCCTTCTTTGGTTTGGTTCCTGTTTGGCTACCAGGAATCAATTCAAAACAAGAGGCTGTTTTAAAACTGTTACTTACAGTTTTCAACAGGATTCTGTGTTGGGACCTTTACTGTTTAGTATTTACATGTTATATTAGATTACTCCCAATCATGGACTTGTTTTTTAATGTTATGCTGATGACATGATTTTTTTATTGACTGAATCACACTACTGATGTCTACAGTGTCTACACTGCAGAGGTGCCTGTGTGATATTGAGATATGGTCTGATATGGCCAGAACAGGACTTTTGTTAAGGTAATCTCTGACAAGGATAGGTTATGCTCAAAGATTCCAGACATTATCAATGGTGTTGACAGCACTGAAATTACACTATTTAATAGAAGGTAGAAACCTTGGTATTAACTTGATCCAGTGTTGTGATTTGTAGCTCATGTTATTAACATTAAAAATAAAATAGAAAATCATCATAAAATATCTACTTATGACTGCCCAGTCACAGCCCTTATCATTATCAGACAATACATAATGCAATACTGATACAATTAATCAAGATTAGATTGCTGTAAGGCCTTACTTCCTGGGATCTCTACTCAAGTACTAAATATTCTTCAGTATGTCCAGAGTTCTACAGATCATGTGTTAACTAAATTACCATTTAAATTAAATGGGCCCCCTTTGACATTTACAGTGGAATTAAAAGGTTCTCCTGCTCAAGTATAAGACACTGAATTATCTTGTAGACTATCTTAAGTACACAATGCACAAGAATAGTTTAGCTCTTAATCAAAGAACTGCTGACTCAGACCATCTTACTCTGGTGAAGACCAGGCCCAGCACAATGCGACACAGAGCCTTCTCAGGTACAGCATCAAATCTGAGGCACTCACTGCCTAGATTAATTGCAGACTCCACAACTTCTGACATTTTTTAACTTTCTTAAAGATGTACATTTTCACTATAGCTTTTTATGTATAATTTAATTTTATTCTTGTTTTAATTTGGTCAATTTACTGTCATTTTCATTTTTCTTACTTCTGTTATGTCTTATAGACATGAGCCATTGTAAATGAAATAAGTTTTTATTAGAAAACTGAGCACAGATACCAATCTGAAATGAAGGGAATCTTTTACCAATTTATCTTTTGTAGAGGATAATCATGATTCAAATGTGCTTTTGTTCAAACCAATTCCTTTATTTTCTTCAAATGCAAAGGTGCAAAACATTCTGGTGAAAACCAGAGTGCTGTTATGCTCTTATTAACAGCCCTCATTATTCTCTACTATAGTCATGATATTCATTTACAGAATAATCATTTGACCTGAATCTAATCAAACTGGGAATCAATCCATCCATGATCAGAAAGCCACTTATTCTGGTGAGGGTTGTAACAACACAGAACTTATCCCAGAAGCACAGGGAGCAAGGCAGCACTGAAGGTACAATTCTACTCACACTCCGAACACAGGCACTGATAAACAAACTTAATACAAATAATCTGCACTATCTTTACAATAAAATCTGTTAACAGATTATGAGTTAACAATTCCTGTAATTCAGTGAAGAGGACAAGTAATAAGAGATATCAGTATGAATTTCACTTTTCTTTTTACACACATTATACTACATACAAACACATGTAATGTACTTTAGTTCCACACTGTGCCAAATGCTCAGTTCTGTACACCCTATTTAACCTAATGGTACAAGTAAGAAACCCTTTATTCACAGTTTATCAGTGTTTCAAGTGATGCATCAATCTCCTCCAGATCCAGTTAAAGTACATACAGTATTTTACACTACAGAGATTCTGCTAAATATTTTATTATAATTGGAGACTCTGCCCAGCAACAACCTCCATGTTTTAAAATCCTGCACTTTCAATTCCTGCCAATGTTGCTGCCTCTCCACCCACCCCACAGCTCTGCCTAAGGGCAGAGAAAACCTCATCAGAAATCTGCAGTACTGATGAAACCACAGCTGCATTCCCAAGCTTCATATATTACAGGAAAGGCATAATACTAAACAGAACAAAAACAACACACACACGCACACAATACCTAGTCTAAATACATCTTACAAGCCTCCAGAACCAATCAACACTGAACACTATTACACTTTTTATATTTATATTCTCTATTAACCTATCAGACAAACATCCACTAAAAGCAAGGTACCATCCACCAAATACTGGGAAGTATGCAGTGGAAGATGATATAAAAGATCAAGCAGTTCAGGCCTAAGGACAGAAAGCAAGCATGCCTTGAGTCCCATCTGAAACCAGTTTTCACTGGCTGAGACCCAAAATTCACAAATCCAAGTTTCTCAAATCCAAAGCATCGCGTGTTAAGGACACCAGATTGTGTTGATTGTGTTGAATTAATTAAAAAATGGGGCACTACAAGATGTGCCCTATTACTTCTCCAAAAATTTGAAAAGCGTGAGTTAGTTAACTTGCAAAGCACATTCAAGCGGAAAAAGTTCATTTCACGATTCCTCCAGGAACTGGTAGAGTATGTAGATGATGACGAGGTTCTTTGCCCTGGAGTACCAATCTCATACTGATGGATTTCCACCAGACCCCACAGGACTCTCGCTCAGTCATAGTTTTTCTATTGTAATGAGGTGATAATGCCTCATTATCTGCTAATTCTTCTTCCCTGCTCCCCAGGTACAGATATATTGCACGACAGTTCCACTGACACCTGAAATAATTAGGGTATCCACTAGCAACCAAACAAGCTAAAATGGGCAGCCCTTTTTTCTGGAGTGAGGCAGCAGACCAGTACTGCGTTTTTACTCTTCCATATATAGTCATCAACTTTAAGAAAACACTGGTTGTCTAAAGCACTGAAAAAGCATTAATTTAAAATATTTTTGATGCCGAGAAGAATCACAAGCAGTGAAAATCTAAGTGTGTCTTTAAATTAATATACTTACAGGAGTGGCTTTATACACATGGACTTCAAAATCTATTTTTTTTACTAGGGGAAGCTGTGGTGACATAATAAGGACAATAACTGCATTAAACTGCAGTGCTGCTGCTGGAGCAAAACTCAAAGCCAGATATAGGAGCCCCACTGATATTCAGATGTGACTGTTTTAGGAGGGCTGCAGTCAGTACCTAGCTTACCGTTTTCAAAATTATACAGAGGCTGCAGAAAACTATTTCATAGCTTCGTGCTTCATATTAAAAATTGGAAACATTGCACGATTATGAACTTATACATGTACTGAGACTACCTGAAGCGGAGGCGTCTTTTTTTGTGTGGATTGTAACAACAAATACACTACTTTTAGAACAACTGCCTCCCTGCATTAAACATTGAGATGTAAATTAAGCCATGTGAGAACCTGAAGACCTCAACTAATGAATTAGCAGTTCAAGAACTCTAAAACATATTGCAGTTCTGAAAACATAAAAATTATTTAAATGCTCGATTTTGTGTAGCATTTGCAGGCATCTAAAGGATTTATAATATATAGTTATGTTTAAAAAAATGTTTTTCTGTCACTACAAATTCATTAGATATCTGTATGGGCAATCTAAATGTATTAAAATGTTAGCTATTCTTTGTTTGTCAGATCCCAGATCTGAATAAAGTGGAAAAACACAAACTGCAAAGAGCTACAAAAACGTTCATGTGACATTTAACAGTGAAGCAAAAACAATACATATCCCCAAAAATGTAAATTTCCATTTTATTATTCATGCAAAAAACGCCTATCAACAGACTAGGAAATGTATTTTAGCCATATTAAGCCAGCATCTTTAAATCTGAATCTACAGCAATGGTGCACACCTTTTCTGTCAGGGTCATGCAGGGCAATCTGAAAAACAAGGAAGGCAGGCCTGATAAGCATCACATTTTAAAAGCCCGTTGTTTTCAATATCGAAAGAAAAACTATATATTTCTAATCAGTATTGTAACACCACAGTATCAAACTACACAACCACTACAGAAACTGCTGAGTAACATTACTGTCGCTGAATAAATTCTCCGCACGACCCCAGGCTAAATCAATGTTTATTACGAATATATAACACTGCAAGGATTTCCATAAAATGCCGCTTACCCAAACATACCCCCCAGAAAGGAATGAGAGGATTTCACTTTCTTGTCAGCTTCAGCCATAAGATGAATGGCTTCGTTCTCTTTTCCTGAAATGTCCATTTTGTAGGGATGGACAAATATACAAACTCAATATGCGTCTTGTAAAGGTTTCAATTTTTTGGCTATTTGATGTGGATACAATCCGATCCGACCCGTTGACCGCAAGGCGCCGCGGGAAATGTAGTTTATGCCAACATCGAAATAAATTTACAAAATAAGCGGATGAGAAGGGCAAAAAACTCCACTTCCCAGAAGCGCATAACCAAGGGGTTACAGTATTCTGCGTGTCGCTTGCACCAGAGAGCTACTCACGTTTTAAGAACTGTGTGACTTGGTGTGATTGTGATAGTTTTGTAAATTACATATTTTGTTCTACAATGCATTCTCTGACTACATTAATAAATCATTATATAATTGTTTACATTATATTTTGTTATTCTTTCATCAAAAATATCAGAATGCTATAATGTCATCTCTAAAATCCAATTTTGATTCACGTATTGAAAATAGTATTCAATGTACATTCTGCTAACGCATAGTACTATTAGTTAAAAACAACTACACCTTGGAGAGTACATTTGTCTCGGCCATAAGCTAAAACAGACTCGGCCCTGAGTTATCGGTATATTCCTATAAGCGTATCTTATTTTAAACTGTTAAATAACTGTCAAACTTCGTAATTATGATTTGCGGTTTATTTTAACACATTAATATGACGTTTTCTAAATTGTCCTTTAAAGCATTTGAAAAAGAAATCATTCACTAGCATTTGATTTCGGAGAATCGCTGAAATGCAGCAACTCGAATTAGCTTTTCTACATATATATGATTTAGGTCAGTTACGTAATTTCAAACGGGGTATATGCAATGCTTTGATAAGATTTAAAAAAATGGAGATGTCACTTGTATTATTGTTTCAAAAAGAAAAGCAGCTTTATCATACAACTTAAAGATGTGTCATGAAGGTGGGACTGCCTTGGGTTCCACAATGCTGAAAATCAGTTGGCATCTATATTCTCTCATAATCCCAAAATCCTACAATCAAATTTCATAAAGTTATAAATAAAAAAAAAACACTCGGGTTTTACATGGGGATATAAGATAACAAATCCCCTTCTTTTGGTCATATTTATATAACTTGATGTGAACTCGATGGCCATGGGAGGAGTTGCAATAATTCCACAGAGAAGGCCTTTGGCAGATTAACATTTCAAATACACGAAAAAACTCCAATGAGCTCTGTACGCCTTTCCAAAAGGGGAAACAATGGCAACACATTTATTTCAGAAAGTAAGTGCAGATGTCTTCCATTTTTAAAAGGAAAAAAAAAATTAAAAACGTACCCCACCCCCACTTAAACGTACTGTCAGTAAAATGCTGCTTACCCAAACATACCCCCCAAGAACGAGTGGGAGGATTTCACTTTCTTATCTGCTTCAGCCATAAGTTGAATGGCTTCCTTTTCTTTGCCGGTGTTGTCCATTTTTATTAATATATGTGTTTTAATCAACAATTCTCAAATACTAACGCATCAGCCTCTGGTGGCCGTAGATAACAGTCAATGATTTTATTTACTACCAGCACCGGTGTGGTTCATCCGCCGAATGGCAGTTTGGGATATGTAGTTTGTTCATCTTCAATAATTGCACAACATATTTGCAAAAGAACTACTTGTCCCAAGAAGCACATCAACTTGTTCTGCGGATCACCGGATTCAGTCTCTCCACTGAAAAAGTAGGGATTATGTGCGTGGTTCTACAGTACGTGATATACTGTAGCACGGTGTTTGAATGTTTGATTAATTTACTTCAATATTTGGTTTTGGAGAGTGTAACTGAGCATCTCTTTTCATTAAACCAAGTCAGATGCAGTGACCTTATTCTGAAAATAAAAACGAACGCTTGGGTTTTATATACTCTATTTTCAGAACTTTGTTCGTAATACATAATAAATAATAATGCATACAATGACAGTCATTCACAAATTTCTTAAACATCTATTTTGAAACACTTGAATTTCACAGTATTTTATATAAATAGTATTGCATTATTTTGAGAACGTTCTACGAAAATATGATAGATTTCTATGCCTTTTAAACAAACTTAATAGTACTGTTCTTTTTCTTTTTTGTTCAAGGTAAACTGTTTAACTGTTCACGATTTTAAAAAATAGGCTTTAGTGCTACTATATTTGCGTAACTTAAACATCTTTCCTAACAGTAAAATATTACTTACGTAAGTAAGAACCATTTTGCTTTGTTTACAGAATATGTTATATTTTATTGGCCTACACATTTTGCTTAATTAAAAATCCACATATTTGTACATTTACTGGTTGTATTAGGTAACAGATATAATCAATTCTCTATAGGCATATATATGTTCTAGAATAATGTGATATTTTATGGAACAAACATATTCTATTGTTTGGTTCAGGTGCATAGCTGCATAAATATGTGTAGTCTGCAAACGAAAAAGTTATAGGTTTATTCCATGCTGAACAGAGAAGAGAGAAAACACAACGTTTCAGCCGTGGAGCCTTTTGAAGAAGGCTCCACAGCTGAAACGTTGTTTTCTCTCTTCTCTTTCAGCATGGGATAAACCTCTACTTGTTCCTTTGTATTCTATTGTTTGTACATTTGCACTGTACTGTAAAATGTGAACTTGTGTATTATATATACTGTAATGTCTACTTGTTTCACACATCTGTACTGTACTGTGAGCACATATTGTGACTATTTTTGTGTCTCCCCATCTTTTGTATATAGTCTAATGTAATTATGTCAGTAATATTGATGCTCGTTTTGCACCTGTGTGGGTTTTGAGTTGAGCAGGTTCCAAATGTGCAAAGGCACATTCCTGTACCTGACACGTACTGGCGAATAAAAGTTATTCTGATTCAGATTCAGTTGGTGCTGAAAATGTATCTGGGTTCTTATAGCCTTTTCTTAATTAATTTAATAATGTAGTAGGATTTAATAGAGCAGGAAAAGCTCTTTTTTTTACTTTAGGGTTTCCTATTAATTCATTTATTACAAGATCTGATATACAATATTGTTATAGGGAGGAATGGAGCAAAATCTCACTCTGCTCCTTTCAGGGAAGAAGGCATACTTAATTAGTTGCATGAATATAGTGCTTTTTCATCCAAAAGGATGTTCCAAAGTGTTTTACGTGCAGATGGGGACTTGCTTCATTCACTAGTGCATAGTAAGAGACTATGCACATTGGAATAGCCACTAGTGCAAAGTACCTGGAGGTATGTGTGCAAAATAACTTGAATGCTAATCACTAATTAAGTATTAGAAATGGGTTCTCTATTAGCCTAATATTGAATGTTTAAATTATTTGTTCTACACCTTTAAATTCAATGGATACTTACAGTAAAAACTACTGGAAAACTTAAAGTGTTTTATTTTTTTATGCAGTAAGCCACAAGACCACAGTGTACTACAACTTAATGATCTTCACCATTCAGTGCTTTATATTTAGGTTGTTATCATGCAGGTTTGGTTTTAATCTAGACAGCCTTTTATCTTGTTAAAATTATTGTTTTTTTCCAGGTCTGTGTGGAAACTAAGTACATGAAATTTGCAGATTAGACACATACTATGTATGAGACACATATGTTTCTTATAGTGATAACAGTGAAGTAGCACTATCTAACACTATTCCACAAAAGAGGCCTTTGAGGAACAAGTAATAGGTTTATTCCATGCTGAAAAAAAGAAGAAAGAAAACACGTTTTCGGCCGTGGAGCCTTCTTCAGGTTTGAGAAAGACAAGGTAGTAAGCAAAGGTAATGTAGCGGAAGAACAAAGGCTGGGAGAGAGGAGGAGCGAGAGGCGGGAGCAGGAGACAGAAAGAGAGGCCAATCAAGAGGTGTGAAGTCAGAATAGGTGTCGAGAGGTGTGAAATGAAACCTCCAATGAATGGAGAAAATTTAGAAGAAAAGTAGTCTGTCATTAAGGGAAGGGGGAAAGTGTGATCCTAACTGCAGGATAATTTTGGTTTCTGTAGTCTTTCTGATGTTTTCTGAGTTCGGAAAACCGTCTTTGAGAACACAGACGGAGAGATTAGAGTGGTCATGGCCGTCAGAGGTGAAATGGGAAACAATGGGCTTGGAGAGATCTTTAATCTTCACAGCCCTTACATGTGCTCTGAAGTGGTCTCCAAGTCTCCTTCCTGTTTCTCCAATGTAGATGGCTGGGCATTTACTACAATAGATACAGTAAATAAAGTTGCTGGAGGTACAAGAAGCCATCTGGGTGATCTGGAATTGTCCTGAGGGGACAATAGTCAGATTAGGCCTTAAACCACGATAAATTGAACACTGTAAACAGGGAAGAGGCAGAAAAGAATAGGAAGACTGGAGAAATGAACACTGGAGAGAGCTGCAAGTGGGACATGAGAGAGAAACATCCTCCTACAGACCAAGAGACCAGAACATGTCCAGTTCTGCCTTAAAAATGTTACTTGTTGTTTTATTTTATTTATAGAATTCACAGGCTAAGAGACATTTCTCATTATGGAGTTATGCAAGATTCTGAATATGAAAATTTCCTTTTTTACAGTATTTGTTCTAGAGCGATAATTAGTCCTGAATGGGATCCTTTTATTTCAAAGGATGAAGGTTCCCTTTTTGCCTTTTTAAGTTGTTTGCCTCTCTGTTTCAGAGAAAGCTCTATGTTTTCAGTGTCTGATGAAGGCTAGACCTGTAAATATCTGTCTCTAGCTGTGGAACATTATGTGTGTTCTATAGGGAAGCATAGTAACACAGTAATATACAAAGAATATACAAAGTATTCCCTGACTTTAGGGGTGAAATTAATATTGATCGAATTTGCTTGCATAGTAAACAAATGTCCTAAACAAATTAAGTGATATTTAATTGTAAATTATAATAACACCCCTATTTTTAAGTATTTTTAGTTGTGATAGGTAAAGTGGAAAAAGCCTTTTGTGATACTGATATTTTCCACCAGGTGGCAACAGCAAGCTACCTTCTGACTTGTCCTTCGACGATAGCATTTCCTTAAAACCTTGTACACGGTTAAAACAAAACACTATATAAAAAATAATAAAGGTTAAAACATTTCCAACTTCCAATGTACTAATAATTTTATTTTAAAAATGACACTAGGCATAAATGTGTAGATCGTTAGGGAAATTTTGGAGGAAACATTTAAGTATATTTTTCCATTGAAGTATGTGGATTGTTACTATACGCCAACAGTGACAACACGCATGATAGGTCTCTGAAATATTAAATGCGGTTGCATGGATTATTGCATATGCCTTTAATTTAGAGATATGGTCATGTGTGACATCCATCCAACCATTTTCTATCTGCTTTACCTCTATACAGGGACCAATCCGATGTTGGGAATACACCTTGGATTAATTCAATTAACCTAAGTTTGTCTTTAGACACCTGGAGGAAATCGGAGCGCCTGGCAAAAATTCACACAAACACGAGGGGAACATACAAAGTCCGCACAAACAGCACCCCAGGAAATGAACGTTGTGCCAAACGTAGCAATACTAACCACTGTACCGCCGTGTGCTGCCACAGTTATACAGTATGTAAGACCACAAATCATTCCATATACTGTACTTGCAAATATTCTCCAAGTCTCATTGTTTCTGTGCAGTGATGCATAGAAGTATTTTCCTATGTGTGTCCTGATGTTTGCAAATCTTCAATATTTTTTTTGTAGGTGATGTCACCGCCCTTCCCTGTGATAGCAGGACTATAGTTACTGGGCTGTAAAGAGATCTCTCTTTGGCTCACCGGGCTGGGTCGCTGCTGAGAGACACGGGAGTCCCGGGTTCGAGCCCCCGACGGTGGGGGGCTGACCTAATGCGGCAAGGGCGCCCGCCTGAGCCCTGTTGTGTTACAATATTTTTGGCAAACATTGTGGAGATACACAAAATTGGCCTAGTATATTAAATACCACTACTTCATAATAAAGAATACTAAATACTTTCCAAAGGCAGGGCAAGGTTAATTCTGATTAAAACTGGTAATTTGTCCTGCTTAGCACAGTTGCAAAATAGGTCTGCCAGGAGTTGAGGATTCCCGAAATCTCAGTCTTGTTATTGCATGTGTGCAAAATTATCCAGTAATATTGTGAACTATGGCATATCATGAGAATTGCCATATGCTGCAGTAAGCTGAGCCCACCATGCAATATAACTGTGTTAATATGAAGTCATTATACTCAACACACCTTTTATGCAAATAGTTTTGGCACATAACATATCTGTCAGGTCTAGAGTTTTGGTATGGTGCTTGTAATGCAATCCCTGTACATTTGTTCTTTCTCTCACTTTTGGTAAATGTCTTTCCCATCTACCAATCCCTATCAGGGAATAATGTTTAAAGACAACTTACTGGAAGAAGACATACTGTACACCTAGCTTAGTCTTAAATTAAAATGTTCTTCAGTGTCTTAAAAATAACTTTTTTTTTTTTACTATGGAATTTAACAGATTGTGGCCTGATTGTGTTAGAAGATGTGTGTGGCCTTTATTATTTATAACCTATACAGAAACTGTTCATGACAATGCCCATTATCTAGTTAATTTTTGTGTTTCGAGCATGTACTGCAACCATTGAACTTAAAAGTGCTGACAAAGGGCATTTTACAAATTCCTAGAATTGCACGTGCAAAGTGCAGACACAACTTGCTCATTGGTAAAAGGAAAAAAAAAATGCTGATTACTGATTGCTTACAACAGAAAGCATGGGCAACTTTGATTTAGGGTTATTATAACATTGGCTTTTCTATACGTTTTTTCCTTTTCATCCATTTTTTTCTGACTATTTAATATAAATGATTTTACTTAAGTGCTTATTGACAAGAAGATACAAAGACTGGACACAAGAACTGAACCCAAGACAGTACAGAGAACTGCGTAAAGCAACATTACCAAGTGTCTTTGATTCTGTCCATTTTGTTTATCAAATTAAAGAAAATGTAAAGAAAAATCATAGGACATATATCTGGTTCATAGAGAAATTGTGCTTATTTTTGAAGATTAGGAGCATTTTTCCATGGCACTGAGCCAATGATGTTTTCTGTAGTTTCATTTCTTCATTCTAAGAAATAAGAAAGGTTACAACTTTGACCTACATCTTCTCCCGACCCTGCAGCGAATTGGTTTTCAAAGTTTGATAACTGCTTTATTTGAAACAATTCTAGGATCTAGAAAAGACACTGAGAAATGTTTTCTTGTACCAGGCCTAGAAACTGCTTTTAAATGTTAATATGACTTACTGTCTCATCTGAACGTTTTCTGAAAAATATAAGACAGCCCAACTTGTTTTTTTACAGATTTATTTTTTTAATTTCATTTTTTTTGTGAGGTGTAAGTCAGTCATGGCATCCTGAATACAGAGGTAAACCCAAAAACCTTCAGGCAGTTTTTGAACAAGTCACATCATTGTGTTTTTTCGTGTACAGCTAGTCATAGAGAAAAAAATGCTGTTAACAGTGGGATCTCCTAAAAGTATATAAACACATTATTTATAAACAAATTCAACAAAAGTTTCTAATTGTATGTTTTCTATGATACATGGAAAAAAACTAAATTTACATAATGACACTAATACCTTTTTCACACTAGAAAGTAGGATTTTGTGTGAGCTTTTGGGCCATACATTGTCAATTATCAAATTCCATTTATTGAAGTCATTTCAAGTTAATTTGTGAATAAAAGAAAAAGCAATAGTTACTTCAAAAACGGAGTGCAAGGACAAAGTTATGAAACTACAAAAGCAAAACAAGGCAAAATGTGGCATATGACAGCGTCTTCCTTTTTGTATAAACATCCAGACTCTCTTGCTTAGGAAATGACAAACACCTTCTACAAAAAAGATCACATGCATCGTAATGCATAGCTGATGTGTATGTACATTTTTCAAATGGCTCTTGGCTATGGATTTGTTACATGCTTGAAAAACATTTGACAGGTTAGGAAATACCTTTTGAGGCACATGAAATATCAGCTATGTACAGTAGGAGATAACCTACATGAAAAAAAGTAGATACAACAAAAACATACAAAGATACATACATACTAGATACATACCAAAAAAACGTGTACTTTTCAGGAAAAAAAAATACTGACACAACTCAGTAAGTTACTTATATGTTTTGTTAGAAAGATAAGAATAGTTATGGTAATTTAAAGTATAGACACCCAGAAAAAACAGCACAGAAATACAAGATCATTTGTAACTGCAATAGAATGTATAATATTAAACTGACCAAGACAATCTTTAGTCTCTAAGATCATATAATAAATTGTGGTTATAAACAGCAAATGCAAACACACTGATTTTAAGGTTTTTTAAAAAGTTAAAACAAAATAATCTGGATAAGTAATATACAGTAGTTTTGTACTCTTCTCCATAATATTTGTTAAAAAAAAACAGTTTTGAGAATTTTTTCCTGATGTTGTGGATCAAGTGCTGGTCAGAAATTTAAGTGATTTAATATACTGAAAGACATGAGCAGATATACAGTATCAAGCTAACCATTCCTCCAAAGTGATTCTCCTGTTGACTACATATAGTGCCAAAAATGTCTGTTGGCATTGTGATGTTAATCCAAATCTTAATGTATCCTGTTAAGAAAAAAAGTAGTCTGTAACTGAAAGCAATACTGAAAAGAAAGGACTAAAATTGTACAATATTATATTAAATATTTTCCACAGAATACTTATTACATGAATTGGCATTTTCAAATCAATCTATGCTTAATCTGAAACATAAAAATAAAATGAAAGACTAGAATTTCAGTTCTCAAACTGTTTTGCCTCTATGTTGCTGTGTTTAGGGAAACTATATACTATATTCACTTGAACTTTCCCTTCAAGTCTTGGTAAAAGAATACTTAAAAAACATGTATTGAACTATATATACACACTAAAGGTTAGGAGTAGTACTGTTTAAGATGCAAATAGCCTTTATTGGATTATTTACAACAGTGTTAGTATTAGAAAGCAGCAAAATGTAGTAAATTGGATCTTAAATTCTAAGTTATTACAGGTTTTGTACATTCCAGCAAATACTTACATCTTCTGATATATGGCCTATTTCCTAACATACAGCAGCCAGAAACAATAGGTTTATTATCAACTTGTTTTTGGCAAACATATTTATTTCTCGCCGGCTAATGAAAATGTCAAACACTACACTTTTACATCATTCAGGAGCAAAAAGGGAAGAAGCTGACTGGAATTGAGCGGAGTGACATTTTAAGAAGAGCTGAGACCGGAATCTGACTCAGTGCTGCCAGCTTCACCTGTTCCAGGGCAGGGCACAGACGAACAGGGAATACTGTATGTGGAACAGGCACAGCTTTTTAATGTCTCTTCTGGGATCACCTCCTTTAGAGACACCTGCTCCTCTACTTTGAAGATATTCGGCTGTTCGAGCTGGTCATCGCCGATCCTGGGCACAAAAAAAGGAGCAAAACCAAATCAGCAAACACAAAGAAGGACAAGATGGTAAAAATATCAAGTACACAACAGGAAGGATTGTTTCACACATACAGATACATTTAAGTTACAGCAATCTGTAAGCATGTTAAAATGCCATCAGCCCCCCAAAGCCACTCAAACACAGCTTAGTTAGTAAAACGTGCTATGCTTCCTTGCAAAGGAAACCACACAATACTATAAGGTGAACTGAAAGAACACTTCCAGAACATTTACTTGCAACACATACTGTTTGCCATCTCATTTCCATGCCTACAAAGCTTTTTTTTTATGCCATATGCATTGCAATGGAAATGGGTAGCCAGATTTACCCTAGTACAGCAATCCTTGCTCAAAGTTGTTTTGAACACAGATGATACAATAAAAATACAATGCAGTTTCTTACAACAGACACCTGATAATACGCAGTGACAGAAAAACAAATAATGGTTGTAAACACTGATATCAAATTACTTCTAGGGCAGCATGGTGGCTGCCCTCAGGACTAGGGTCCTGTGCTCCATTGCAGACTAGAGATGCTAACTGCATATGCATGTGGTTTAGAAGTATATGTTCTCCCATTTTTTGTGTGAGTTTCCTCGAGATGCTCCATTTTGCTCTTATAATCCAAAGACATAATTTCGATTTTAAAACTGGCCATAGTGCAAGTGCATACGTGTCCGTGTTTGCAATGGACTGGCGTCCCATCAAGGGTGTTAAAGCCTTGCTTGCTGAGAAGTCTCTCGCTCCCCTGTAATAAATGCAAAAGGCGCTTCCACAAAGTATTAGTTGGGGGGGGGGTATGTGCACACTTATGCAACCAGAGTGTTGTAGGTTTTTTAATTTCAATTATTTTTCCTAATAATTATCTAATTGTTTTTCTCTTGAATTGTTGGTTGCAAGGTCACATTAAAGATGGAAAAATGTCTCACATGATTTATATTGATTTCTGTCTTTACATCACAAAAACCTGCAATTTTAATAAGGGTGTGTAGACTTTTTATATCTACTGTAAATAAAAAAATAGTTTGGACTAGAAATAGCTGCCTAGATTGAATTACTTAATGGAGGTTTCGTTCAAATGCCAGGAATTACAACTATATTGTTTCTTAATAAACAAGAAATGGATAACAAGCCCAACTCTGCTCACGGACTCTGAAGAGGGTATTTTTGAAATGGCCTCATCAGTGCCATTTTCTCATGTGCTGCAATTCCTGACGGGTATACAGTTCAATACTGGGCAGCTATAATTTCACTGTCATTAAATGGGGTAACAATGTTATGCACGCACCATGTGCAATTACTCTCTCTGTTCACATTCAAAGCAACCAACTACAGAACTGTTCGTAAAGAGCAAAATATTATGGGCAGCACTTTTATGTTGCATGTTCACAATTTACAGGCAGATTACAAAGCCTTCAAATTCACACATTTTCTGTATTTAATGTACAGTACTTTGGATGTTAGTATAGTACATGGTTTTATTTATGGACAGCACGATACATGATTTTCTTATTTTACATTATTCCTGGAGCCTTAAATTTACTTTTAACCTTTTACCACTAAACTGCACTAATTAGCTCCAGTATGAGTACTGTATGTGCTGTATATAAAAAAAGTTAAGAACTATACAGTACATATCTACTCTAAAGGATCAAACAACATGACTGAACTATGACCACTAGCACCTCTACACCCCTTGACCCTCTTGACTCAGTATTATCAAACATTTAGTACAGTATACTAGAAGAACTGGAGATAAAGTAAATATTTCAGTTAACATTCCCTGGATTTTGAAAGCAATATTCTGGCCATCAAAATCAAGGCCATGCATTTAGCAATGTACGGTAACATGCAGATACCTAGCCAAGCAATTGCCTGTTTTAAGACACAACATCCATTGTTTAACTTTATTGAGGTTAAACATAACATTAAAAATGTAATATTCCATGCAATCCATGAACGTAAAAGGTGTAAAAATAAACATTACCCTTAAGAATCTGTCTTAAAAGGTATGATTAGTTGCATCCTTTCACAATTGCAAAAAAAAAATACAAGCAAGGTACTGTATAAGGAATAAACAACTAATTCCATTAAACTTAATAGTCACAGAAATGATGATGAAGGCAGTTGACTAGTCACTGATTTTTGTTAAGTTTCACAGCTATACAACCTAAGGTTACCTCAGGTGTTCTAAAATATTATCAAAAACATCAACACTACATTCATTAAAATAATCTTGTATGATTAGTCAACCACCACACATCATTTTTCAGGTAACTTTATCAATTTCTTGTGCATTTACTAAATACAGAGCCATTCAGGAATTATGAAATAGGGCAAAACATCCAGTGAAAGATTTGGGGACCAGACAAACATTACTCGTATCTGTAGAGCTTGTTTCAATGAATTTTGGAACCAAATCCTCACAAATTCTGAAAAGAAAAGGTAAAATAGTAACACATACTGTAAATACCTACTGTAAGTACTGACAGTTTTCAACCAAACTATTAATACATTATCTGGCCATTTCGGTTAGAAAACCATGAAATAATAGAAAGGTAAAATAATTGAGAAATAGTGTAGTCTATTGATCATCAAAGTCATCACTATTGAACAGAAAAAAAAATAATTATTGAAAAAAGCCATTTTTATGGTGTTCCTGATAAACAGTGGAGTTTGTATTATTAATTCTATACATAGAAAAGTGTTTTATTGAACTTTCAGCTCCTGTGGCTAAGCCATCTGGCAGAGTGTTTGCTTTACAGCTCCCCTTTTTCCAAATACAGTTCACCTTAGGAAGCAGATAACCTACATCTAAGGTCAAATGGGAATAATAGAACAAAAAGCTATAATTCTGATTGACAGAACCATATTACAATTCAATTAATTGTAATTTTACAGTGTGATTGTAATTGTGGAATCTACCAAGATTAAACTCCTTGCACCATATTTGGTATTACCTGGTAATAAGCTTAAATATTAACTGGAATCATGATCAGATCAGCCCTGGTGTAAAAAAATGTATCACCATAATTTGATCTGTAACCTGTATTGCCTATCTTGCAAATCCTTAATGATGGAGAGTTAACCATACTTCTCCACTCTAAACGCTTAACCATATCAGAAAGTGAACTGTACATCCACCTTTCTAAACAATGGAAAGTCTTGGTATAACCTTATGGGAAAGTGAACCATGCTTCTCTCATCTAACCTACAGTATAAGAAATGCCTTCTTCCATGGTCTAAGGTTAACTCTGTGGTTTTACTGTAACTACATGTAGTTAAGACGACCTTTCTTCCGGTCTTTATATATTTATAGAGAAGTCTTAAAAGAAATCAAATCTAATTTTGCAATTCAAATTTATTTTCAATTCATAAGTTTAAGATATTCCCTTGTTTTTCATTTCTGCTTTGTTCATCTACAAACAAGGGAAATCTACACAAGAAAAATAAAAGAAAATAAAATGATATTTTCCCTTTGTATAAGCTGATGACATTTTTATTATTCACCCCAAGGTAATGTCAAATTACAAATACTGTAAGAATAGGCTAGTATAATCAAGGACCTGATACACTTAATTCTGGTTAAAGATATTTCTATCATTATTTATATAGGAGTGGCCATTTATGCCATGTGAAAATGTGAGAAATGTAAGATAACGTGAGAAAACTTTTCTTTTCTTAAAGCACTGCCAACCCTTTAGTTAGGGAAATGTAAATTTGAAGGGATTTGTATGCTTATTGGATTATGATTTGATTTTGTTTCATTTCTGACACTTCACTCCCTGTAACACTTTGCCTCACTTAAAATAGTGTACAATATTTGGAATCAGACCAGAGAACTGTACCTAGACATACATTTGCTGGATTCAAAGGTATATACTGACAGGCTAAATGAAACAAATCAGTTTAGTCTTGAACACAGAAAACTACAAGGAGACCTGACTCCATGTTCAAAATTGAAGTTCAGCCCATTGGACTTCTTCGAACTAAAACTGCAACTCAGAGGGCACAAGTGAAAACTATTGGGACAGGAAAAAAGATATCTAGCAATGCTATCCAAGTTAATATTCAGGCTTCAAGAAATTACTGGATGAGAATCAATTAGCTACTAAAAAACAAAAAGCTAGATGGGCCAAAAGACCCCATCTGATTTGTAAATGTAATCACATGCGCTCAACAATGATGTGTGCTCTTCTTTATAAAAAAATATTTTTAAATATCTGGGTAATACAAGCAGCAGTGTAATATTTGACTGAATTAAATGGACGCAAACTCAGACAACATTAGGCACATTAGGGAATGAAGTACAAGCTATGTAATTTCTCAAGACTAAATTTAAATTCTGTACATTAATAACGGAAATGTACCTCTTATTAAGTATCTACATCATGCCAGAACAAATGACCCAGACTGAACTTAAGAACATCTGGTTTTAGTCAAGTAGTGTCTTTTTAGCTAGCGAGACTGAGGCATAAGTATTCAATGGCCTTTGCTCACACACAGGAAATGAGCTTACTATACCTGTGCTGAATTTATATAATTTGTTCACAATAAATCTGTTCACTGGTAGTCAAGGAAATGTGTTTAAACAATAAAAACACAACACAGACATATATGTATTAAATCTGTCACAGAATGTATATGTATGCGCATTTTTTGTTGAGCTATCAGATCTAAATATACTGTAATCTAAAACTGGTCATACATAATAATGTTGAAAATCTGTTATCACTTTAAATGCTTATCTTCACAACGGTCCTGTGCTTACACACGTACACCACTTAACTAAAAATATCAATGTACAAATTGTGACCAAAATGTTGAAATGTACTCACTTGTCATAAATTATCCCATCAATTCCATGCTCTCTGAGTTTTCTCCTGTTTTCATGATTGTTGGTGTCATCTCCCCAACAGAAAACCACCAATCCTTTCGACTGTGCTTCCTTAATGTAATCCATGTTTTTCAGCAAATCCTCAATGTTTGCGCTTATCCCCTAAAAAAAGATGCATAAATAACACAGATCGAGTATTCAAAATTATAATATAAGAGTGCTTACTGGTAAAATATGAGCTTTTCACCTTTCACAGAATGTGATGGAACACTAATCCACTGCACGTTTTTTAAAGTCAATGAAACTGGGATTAATAGGGATTAATACTGAAGAACCAAATTGATTGTTTGCATATTTACTGTGATTTTCTGGGAAGACATAATTTTAATAAACATGAACAATAGACATGACTGGAATAAACTACATCATTTCTTCCTGGTACTTTCACTTGTTAATATTAGCACTTGCTATTACGTTATGTCACATTGTTATTTCTATTTTACAAACTTATTTTTTTCTTTGTCATGTTTTCTGTGCTACAACTGTGTAAGGCTTTTGGCAAGGGTGTCACTGTTCTCTTTGACTTATCTGCAGTAAATACAGGATTTGTTATGATACTGTTAATTGGAAATGATAGCCACATCTTTCTGACAGGCTGATAATCCAAGCGCAAGAGCTCTGCTGACGGAGAGCCCCAAAGTGGTGGACTGGTCTGACAGCAAATGCTTTCTTCAGGGCAACTGCGCTGCTGTGTGGGACACTGGTAGAGGATTTGAAGCCACTCGTCTGGTGCTGGTTGGGAGACTGATATTATCAGGAGAATCAGGCTTGGAACTGACTTGGAAGTCTTTAGGCAGAAAACCTTTGGAGATGCAGGACGAATTTCAGAGTGGATTTGAAGAATAGGAATTATTTAAATTCTCTCACTTCACAGTTACAATTCTGAAGTATATTTTTATCTGCCAAAATAATCTATTCAAATTATTTATAATCTAAAACAGGAAAATTCAGATTCTTATCAAAGAAACAATTTCTGATATTAAAAGAACAGTGTGCTGAAGTGTTATTTATCCTCTCCATTACTTATTTGTAACTACATCCATAATATTTAATATTTTTTTTTAAATACATGTCTTGTTAATATTATGCAAAGAAACAGAGTTTGCCATATTACTCATTACCAAAAGATCTTCACTCTGTGCAAAACTGATTGCAATTGAGGTTGTCCGACACCTAAAATCCATTAGATCTGGGTAGATTTCAGAGACGCCTTGAGTCAGGAAGAGTATAGGGTATTTATTTTGCTTTTGCCGTACCCTGCAATCAAACAATATCATCATGTTAATATTTAGATAGGACATTTACATTTTTGCACATTTCATTAAAACAAGGTCGAAAAACCAATTTCAAATGTTAAATAGGTTTGCTGGGAAAATTAACACTAGCCTGTGTTTGAAATGATAATATATCCTGCTAAAGAAGCCATGAATGATCCTCTAAAGTAATGTACTTGGCATTTTTTTCTAAACTTGGTAGTTGACAGAGGACTTCTTAATATAACATTTTTTAATTCTGAATATTACATCATTTCTGAATACCTCACATGCATGATGCATTACTTCAGACTATTAACAGTGATGGAAAAAGTATAGGTTTATTCCATGCTGGAAAGAAGAGAAACAAAGTTTCGGCTGTGAAGCCTCTTTTACTTGTTCCTTTGCAGCTTACGCATGCTAACACAGCTACCTACTTGAACTTATTAACAGTGACGGCAATTTCGATAAAGGATTTTCCACTAATACCAATTCATTTGGAATTTTCCATTGTTCATTTCCACCACAATAACATTTCTAAATCTACTAAAGAGCCCAAGGTTAATCTTTTCAAAACTATTATGGTGGAAAATTTTGAAAATGTAAAGGTGCACAATATACAGAAAGAGACAATTACAACATACTGTATACACTTACATTGTGCAAATGTCAGGATCAAAAGATGAAAAAACTACTCTTCTTTTCCCAGCATTCTGGAGGACACACTTCAGAATAATATCAAGAAAGAGGTTCATATCAAAGTATGTTGAGAGATTTCCTTCCCAGGAACCATCCTTTGAAAAATAAATGGTAAAATACACAGTTAAGATAAACTAATCTTTATGGCAGTATTAGAAAAACTTTATTACAGTTATATAATATTTTCTGCAGATTTGTTAAAAGTGAGTCATCTTACTAATAAAGAAACTTCATTGCACTTTTTCAAATTAATCTCACTTCCTCTTTCTTTACAACATTTACTTACTTTTAATTTTGACAAAAAATATTGCTTAGGTATTGTTCATAATGTGTAAATTAAGATAATCAATAATTAACTGAGATCTGTGGGTTACCAACTGTAAGTTCTAAAATAGAAGAGCACTTATACAGTTGCTCTCAGCAGTCATTTTTAAGTAAATATACCAAAGCCACCATAGCAAAACAAAATTGGTATTAAAGACATACCGCAACATGTTTGGCTATTTAATTTCCAATGGTACTACTTCATTCTTTCTAAAACAACAGACAGAGCTGGCAGAGTGGATACTTGAATACTTGGGGTAAGGTTAAATTTAATGATGCTACCACATCCAACCAATTAAATCAACAAAACTCAGAGGACAATACTTACTTTTAGCTGTGTGAGCCACTTCAGTTCAATGTTGAACCCTACATGGTCTGGCACAGCTTGAAAGATCTGCAAAAAACAATAATAAATAAAGTTAACAATAACACAGTCAAGCTTCAAAATGATTAGTTAGAAAGCAGACATCCCCATGTTGTTTAAACATGAAATTTAGCTAAAATACATACATTTTCCAACAAGTAGAATTCACATAACTAATCATTTTTGAAAATTTGAAGATGCATTACCTTTCTTTAACACTGAAAACCCACCCACCTGGGAATTCATCAGAACGTTAAATCATCATACTACTTTTGATATTTTATAGTTTGTTTCATATTTTATGAAAATGCATTCCCTTGTCTTTATACGAGGGCAATACTTCTCTTGTGGCTGTCTGCTTATTTTTTCATGTGTGGTGTTGTCCTGGCTGCCAGTGTGTAAATATAAAATATGCACAGGCTTCAGCACAGACATTGAAACAAGATCAGAGAAAATGCCCTGGTTGAATTTGAAACAAGTAATAAAAAATGTATTTAAACTACTCTTCAGCTTACCTATTAAATATATACTGTACATACATGACATAGGCATTAACTACTTTTTAGCTATACTATAAGAAAGTGGCTTTTTCCAACAATCTAATTGTATGTCCATATATTTGAAGTTACATGATTAAAAAAACACTTCTGATGTTTTCTTAATGTTCATTAAAATTGTGACTCAGAAAGCTATGCAGTAAACACTCCATGACCTGACTTGTGCCCTTTATTCTAGCGAGTTTCTATTGCCAATGGTGTGTACAATGAGAAATGTCTATTGCAAACAGACTGCTGTTACCTACTTGTTGAAGTGAAGGAAAAGGCTGGTGCTCAGCAATGTACTCCTCCTCTTCAGAATCTGCAAAACAAGACAAGAGTGCCTCCTTACTGTTTATAACACCACAGCTGGACCTCAGAACTGCACCAGACAGAGACGCACAGGTTCATGATAGACGTAGTTGAAGTACTGTGGTGAATTACTTCCTGCTGATGATTGACCCAAAACCAAAGTGCTTTAACAGGGACCTTAACAGTTTTCAACCCAGGCACCAGAGGTCATGAGAGAAAATTACAAAAAACACCACATGCACCAAAGCAGTAAGCCTCCTTGGCCGATCTATATTTTGTTTTTACATAGCTTCAATATTTTATTATATTCCCTATAACAAAAAGCTGCCTTGTGTGGGTTTTACCATCTTAAGAGACTAGCTAATAAGACCATTATAAAGTCAAAGCTATTCAAGATTTGAAAATCTAATAAGAAGAGTTCTTAAGACTTTATTGGGTCTAATTCTAAGCACTTCAAAGCAGCCTTTGAAAGGACTGGACATCCCTCATAACCATCCCCAGTGCATTTCCATATACTGGTCCAGCCCATTCTAATCCAATTAGGTAATTCTTAAAAAGCTACAGATGCAGCCATTCAAAGTGCGCGGTACAGACACCGCAGTACAGATACCGCAGGTATGATGACACGCGATACCGCGGTGCGTGATTGGTTGACCGACAGGGG